TATTTCGAAAACACCACAGTTTTCATGCAGCTCATACCATATTATTTGTTGTATTAATCCGCCACACCTTAAATGCCGGTCCCTGAAAATATTGTCTGACTTAAACCGGTCCGTGGGGCAAAAAAGGTTGGGGACCCCTGGTTGAAAAAAAAACAAACAAACAAACAAAAACTCCCTGCATGTGCGCAAAAAACTATCAGCGTGTACTTGAGTTGTGTATTTTGTCATGTTTTGGCTGCCACCATACGTCGGAGCACATGTGTGCAGAAGCATCTGCCTGATGTGTTCTGCAAATGTATTTTTTATTTGATTTTTATTTTCCGTGAGCTATCTACATACAAGAAAATGGTTGACTCGATTTCCGCGTCTCTCATCTTTGAGTACACACACACACACACACACACACACACACACACACACACACACACACACACACACACAGGATCGTGTGCTGTAACTTGAGCCATGGCAAATTAAACCGCAATCCTTGCAAAGTTGTCCAGTGGACAGATATTAAGAGGACCAATTTGGCCTTATATTTCATGAATTAGCCCGATGACCAACGAAAATAATTTAAATCATTTAAGATGGTGGACAGTGCGCCAGTGTGTGCGGCGACGCCCCTGCCATTTCGACTTTTTTTATTATTCACAATGCTTGGTACCTTCTTAACCGAGTCTCAATTGGTTTATGATCGCCAAGCATTGTTGTTGCTGTCACGGTTCTGTTTGTGAAGAACAGGTGGCACTGTAGGGCTCCACTTGCAGCGGCACACCTGTTGGTCGTTACGTATTTGTTTCAAAGGACTCCCGGCACGACCACTCGGTGTCGGGTCATAGTTTGTTTGTTGTTGTCATGTTTGTTTTCTGTTTCTGTTGCTGTTAGTTTTTTACTTCCGCCATAGTTTTTGTTTGTTACTTTGGATTATTTTTGTTTTCATGCCTTTGTTTGTCTTGGATTTAGTTTCCTCAGTATTTTGTTCATACAATTTGACTAGTTCACCCTGCTCCTCCTTGCTGCCTGCTTTTTGGGGTCCTCCACCACCACGCATCGTGTCAGAATGACCCGACCATCAACTGGACCCCACAGGTACCAAGGACTGGTCCCAATTCCACCCTGTGCCTGGCGGAGCACTTCTGCGGCTGACACCATTTTCCCTTCAGGCGGCGCATGTCATGCGGCCGTCCCATGTTTCCCCTTCAGGTGGCGCATGCCATGCGGCCGTCCCATGTTTTGCGCCTCGTCAAGCCACGTCTATGGTAGGCCGAGCCCCGTCCGCGTCCACGTTGAGCTGTGCCTCATCACGTGTCTGTTTGAATCGAGTCACATTCACGTCCACGTCCACGTCAGGCCGAGCCCCGTTCACGTCCGGCTGTCCCATGTCCCCCATCATGCCGAACTCTGTCCACGTCAGGCCAAGCCCAGCCATTTGGTGACTGTTTTGGGACTTCTGGGATCAGTCCCTTGAGGAAGGGGTATTGTCACGATTCTGTTTGTGACCAACAGGTGGCACTGTAGAGCTCCACCTGCAGCGGCACACCTGTTGGTCGTTATGTAATTGTTTAAAAGGACTCCTGGCATGACCACTCGGTGTTGGGTCATTGTTTGTTTGTTGCTGTCATGTTTGTTTTCTGTCATTTTTTCTGTTGCTGTTAGTTTTTTGCTACCGCCATAGGTTTTGTTTGTTATTTTGGATTCTTTTTGTTTTCATGCCTTTGTTTGTCTTGGATTTAGTTTCCTCAGCATTTTGTTAATACAATTTGACGAGTTCACTCTGCTCCTCCATCCTGCCTCTTACTGGGGTCCTCCACCATCACGCATCGTGACAGTTGCTTCAACAACACGGAGATTCGGCTGCGTTTTGGCTAGGCAGTGGCAAAAAGATGTTGCCTCCGTTCTTGGCAAAATACCGTCTAATCTCTTCCGCGTTCATGCGCCCCCTTCAGGGAAGCGCTGCCGACATGGCAAACATAGCAGTCAGCTCGTGAAGCTAAAACGGGAACTGAGACACATTTCGACCGCTGCTAGTTCCCCAACGCACGGAATTACTCCGTTGTGGCGTGCCCTCGACCCCGTTGCCTCGTGCTTGACAACAGTCGTTGGCTCTCCCGCAGTGCCACGGCATTTGTACCCTCAGTGCCTTTTTCGGCGAGGTGTTCATTGAAAGCTTTTGAGGGAATTTCCCCGAGCTCAGCGATCAGAAGAGGCACCCCCTCTTGTCGCTGCTCCCACAAGAATTTCATTGTTAAACTCCCGGTCTGTGCTCTGCGCTGTCATTTACCGTCCTCCTAAATACAATAAAGACTTTAAGCGACTTTTCAACCCTTTTTGCGGAAATCAGGCTCAGAGCCTCCTCAGGGGGGATTTTAACATCCATGTGTGCTGTCTGGAAAAACCACTAGCAAAGGACCTCTTAAGACTTATCGACTCTTTTAATTTTGTGCAATATGTGACCAGCCTGACACATGAACAAGGACATGTTTTAGACCTTGTCCTTGCTTATGGTCTACTGGTGTCAAACTTGGAAGTCTTTGAAAATGGGATTTCGGATCGCAAGGCAGTTTTATTTGACATAGAGGAGAGAGGAGTCAAGTGGCGCATTCAAGTGCGCTCAGTTTGGTCGAGAACCGATTTTCGGTCATAATCCGAGGCATAAAAAACTTAATTTTTGGTCGAAAACCGATTTGGTCGAGGACAGAGACGTTCGAAAACCGAGGTTTGACTGTAGCATGCTGCGCCTAAGGGTTTTTTTTTTTTCTTTTTGCGTGCGTTGAAGGAGTGAGGGGCAAGACAGTTTGTCAGCACTAAAATTATTCATTATAATTATAAATATTACTATAATAATACACTAAGATTACCTCACAAACCCGCCATAGTATGTGAGGGCACAAAGCTGTGAATCGGATAGGCTTCTCTGCAGCACTGGGGCGCCGCAGGGGACTGTCCTGGCTCCATTTCTGTTCACCCTCTACACCTCGGACTTCAGACACATCACTCCAACCTGCCACCTTCAGAAGTTCTCTGACGACTCTGCGATTGTAGGCCTCATTACAGAGGGAGACGATCGGGAGTACAAGAGACTGACGAAGGACTTTGTGGACTGGTGCCAGCAGAATCACCTCCAGATCAACCCTGGGAAAACTAAGTAGTTGGTTGTGGATTTCTGCAGGAAACAGTCCTCACCTGCACTGATGAACATCCAGGGTACGGAGATAGAGAGGGTGACCTCAACATGCAGGACAGCGGCCCTCCAGGACCGGAGTTTGACACCCCTGTTCTAAACAATAAACTGGACTGGTCAACCAACACGGACGCCCTGATTAGGAAAGGACAGAGCCGCCTCTTCCTACTCAGGAAACTGAGTTCTTTTGGCCCTGACAGCATTGGGTAGCCCCTTCAGCCAGAGACTGTTACACGCGCGCTGACAGAAGGAGAGATCCCGTCGCTCGTTCCTACCGACTGCTGTCAGGCTGCTGAATAAACATGCGTGAAAACCTGTAACCATTGTAAATAGCACAGCCACCTTACGTTGTGTTTGTCTATGCTATTGCTAATTTATTATATTCTACAAATATATTGCTAATGCTTTATTTTATATTGCACTTATATTGAACTGTATAGTTCAGTTCTTTTCTGAAACATTTATTTTGTGCAATGAAACACTTTATTCCCCCCCAACCACCCCAAATTTTGCTGCTGTAGACTGCAAATTTCCCCAGTGTGGGACAAATAAAGGTTATCTTAACTTAAAACACTGGATCATTTAAATCTAGTTGCTCAATAGCTACCTAAATTATTTATTTGTTTGTTTGTTTTGGAGTCAACCACAGGGATGTTTTGTAAATAGAAACCCTTTGAAAATATCCCCACGAACGCTAACTATTTCGTGAGCCATAAACCTCCTCCTGGAAAACTACTCTGACGTATTTTGACTTTTTTTGAATGCAAGAGGTGTCATAAGACAGGCATGATCTGATATTTCCTATCCATTAGCATATGTGATGTTAATAATTTGAGATCAGTAAGCTTTATATGTTTCAGTCATCTATCTAAGTTAATAAGTTGAGTGAGAAGTGCAGTCTGCATTTACATATCATGTTTCATGAAAAAAAGTGATACGTAAGTGCTAAGGTAACTGATTTCTTTGCGGTATTGTTGTAATCTGCACTTTAGTTTGTGCCTTCTTGATTTACAGTCTAGAATATATTTGTTTACAACACACTTGTGTGGCAGAATTATGTTGTCATGGTGAATGCTTACCAAACTGGATGTCCAAGTATTTAGTAAGTTTCTACCTGTAATTGTAGTAAAGTTTCATGTTAATTGATGCTTTATTTGCCTTTTCCTGAGCATCATACAGTGTATAATGCATCTCATATTGTTTGTCATACTAAAGATTTATTGTTGAAAAGTACATTGAAAAGAACCTGAAATAAATAATTGCAAATGAAATTGCAATTGCGATTTGCTTTGCCTGCCACTGTTAGCAGTACTTAAGTCCAGTGCAATCTACTGTACCGCCGACCTGACCCAGCTGTATACAAAGGTTAAAAAAAACAATGTATGACAACATAAAACATACAATAACATTGTAGTTAGTTATTTTGGAACCCTTCACAACCTTTCATACTAAACAAGACAAAGGCAAGATAAAGGAGACAAACTGGAGTGCAATGACAAAGGTCCACTAACCAGATGAAGGTGAAGATGGTGAGCGGTTGCGTGGCAAAGTTGGACTCCTCTCAGCTTGGTGGAAGTGCACCGTGGTGGTTGTGCTGTTGGCCACTGTGCAGCAGGACGACGGCTGCAACCTCGTGTGACTCAACGGCATTGTCTCGGGGATAGACTCCAGATCCCAGCAGCCTCTCTGTTCGTGAGGAGAGTGGCCCGAGTGTAGGTGATGGGAGTGTCTATGGATCTTGTGGAGACATCTATGCTCGCCGGTGCTAACACTGTGGAATCCTGAGTCACTGGGTTCTGAAGAAACCAGAGACTCTGAGGAAGAGGAGGAGCCCTGTGAGGAGGGAGTGTGGCCCGGGAGTGACGACATGGCGTCAGTCTCTGCTTCGGAGAGCACCACCCGGCGATGTGGACTGTCTGGGTCGCAACTCAGTTTGCTGTCCAGCTCATTGAGGGGAATGTAGCCCAGAGGACGCCAGGGGGCGCAGTAGTTGGACTGTACGTAAGAAAACAAGAGAACAAAATGTTTTTCTCCTTCTTTGTCAAAATTTATTTTTGGCTGAAAATAATTGTTTCAGGAAGAAAAACCTGTCTTGAGAAGTTCTTATTCATTTCTCCAGAGTTGTAACAGCCAAGAAGACAACTCTCGGAATTGGGCTGATATGACGACATTTCTGGAGCCTGGACCAACAAAGAAATACATTTTTGGATCATATTTTGAATCATCAAGACCTAATAGAGCACAAGTCATGAATATTTTTGACAAACATGAAGCGTTCCCAGTGGTCTTAATAACATGCTTCTCTCGAAAAAGCCTTGTTTAATGCAGCTGCTCTTTCTCCCGCAAATGAACCACTGCTCATCCCCAATCCCTCTATTAGTCAAGTCAAACTTATTTATACAGCCCTTAATTACAAAAAAAAACTTTCAAAGGGCTCCACATGCCCACAGTTGAAAAATATTAACGACATCCCCTGATGTAACCCCATAGGAGGGAAAGGAAAATCTTTTAAAAAATTTGGGGGATAATAAGAAACCTTGAGGAGGGGGCACAGATGAGGGAATCCCCCATCCAGGATGACCAGGCTGCAATGTGAGTCAAGCCAAGTCAAGTCAAGTACAACTTTATTGTCAAATGCGCTGTATGTGCAGCGCAGATGAAATTTCAACAAGAGGAGCCGCTGCGGGTGCCCGCGCTGCCATCAAAAGAACAGTTAACATAAAATGACAAAATAATACAACACAACACATAAGACACAGACAGTCGTGCAATCGTAACCACTTTTCCTGCATTTAACACAATATGATACTATACAATGTTAGAATAGTGTTAGAGTCCATTTAATAAGATGAAGTGCTGCAAGAAGATGCTTTCATAGAAGTGGGTCCGCCTCAAAAACCCGGATTGGTTGGCCAATGCGGAAATCTCCATAGCAGCGCCTCCAAGATGGTGGTCCAACTCAGATCTTGTCCCCATCAGCCGGTGCAGAATACATTCAGCTCTACATACAATTCGGTCACCTGCCCCTTTCAAGCCAGGGAGGAGGAGTTAGGAGATAGAAAAGAAGCAGCAGAGGCCAACATGTGGTGCAGCTAAATTAAGGAGGATACAAAACATTTCTATTTCTGTGGGCAGGGCATTCCAAAGCAATGAAGCCCGAATAGATGGATTACATTTTTACTCCACTACATCAAGATATATTGAGAGACGATTATGCTCGATGGTTAAGATGGAAAACAGATTGCCTCAGATAACTTCAGCTAATGCTGTCCAGACACATCGAAATGATTGTTAGCCAAGTGATTAGCAAAGCCTTTCCTGCCGTGTGGTCACACCTGCTCTCCTTAAAAACTCTGTGAGTCACACCAAACACTTCAATCATATCCCAATAGAATAACAAACAAATTAAAATCAGTTGAGCTGATCCATGGCAAGTTAAAATTAGCAAGCGTTACATTAGGCCAAGGGTGTCAAACTCATTTTTGTCCTGGGGCACTTAGGAGTTACGTCTTACATCGGAGGGCCATTACGACAGCCAAACTGAATAAAAGTTTATGTAATCATCTCATCATATTATTTGTACACAACAAATTGATGGATTACTAGTTTTCACTCAAGTTAACTATCTGTTTGTTCAATTAGGTTTAAAGTTTCTTTTTTTTCAGACAATGATCTCTTTTGGTGAAGAGGAAAAACTCTGACCTAACTGACAGTTTCGGCTGTCACTTCAACTTTCGTCAAACTTGTCACTGCTTCCTTGTGACGCATCTTAAAAACAATTATTTGTTTGTTGTTTGATCGATTATTGTTAAAGTGATTTTAAACAGGGTAACAAAATGATTGCGAAATTTTCAATGTTATTTATTACACAATCCCAATTTGACATTTTGGTACAGACTTTAGCAAGGGATCATGGAAGTTGGCACATGAATTGCTTTTGCGGGTCATATAAAATGATGTGGCCCCCAGGCCTTGACTTTGGCACCTGTGCAAAATGCCATGCTATCCATTTTGATGAATAACACAGTCAAAAAGCAGAAATATGACCAAAACACGACACATTACATTTTTACTACATTACATCAAGATATATTGAGAGACGATTATGCTCGATGCTTAAGATGGAAAACAGATTGCCTCAGATAAACTTAGCTAATGCTGTCCAGGCACATCAACATAATCGTTAACCAAACAATTAGCAAAGCCATTGCTGCCGTATGGTCAAACCTGCTCTTCTTAAAAACTCAAAACTCAAAAAACAAGTCAACATTAGCAAACTTGAATGGAGGACAGATCAGTTGTACAGAGCCGACAGGATAAATGCAACGGTTGATGATGTAATTTAATGATGACACTTACCTGAATAAAGTGCTTCTCTCTCGAACATGTCATCCGAATGTAAGAACTGGCTGTGTGCTGCTGTTCCTTTGATTGGCTAATAAGAATAATTCCTACAAAAACAACAGGCACCTTGCACCCATCGCTGCTCAGCCCCAAATAATTATATTTTTTATGAAAATGCAAGGGACCTTGCAGTGCTTGCTGCTCGAGCCATAAAAGAATAATTCAACAAAAATAATAGACACCTCAAAGTGGTCGCTGCTCAGGCCCTAATAAGAATAATTTCTACAAAAACAAGAGGGACCTCGTAGTGGTCATTGCTCAGGCCCTAACAATTACATATTTTTGATAAAACAATAGGCACCTTGCAGCGGTTGCTGATAGGGGCCCTAATAAGAATAGCCGACACACTCATGGTTGAGCTCAAAGGAGCTGAGAAAAGAACCAATCACTTCAGGAAGCTCAATCACAGATTCGTTCCTTCGAATGAAATGTACATGAATGACACAGCACTAGTGGGAAGGCACTCCAGAGTCCCAACTTTGAATTTTTTTGGACAAGCTATTAAAAGTCCCTTTTACATTAGTATGTGTTCCCTTGAATTAATTGCTCACCTGGTAGTCCAGGCGGTCCAGATGGTCCAAGCTGTAGGAAACATTTGGCAGGTAGTTGGTAGTGTGATGCTGGGAGGTGGAACCTCTGGTCAGGTAACCGTTGGTTGGATAGACATCAGGTGACATCAAGATGTCATTGGCAGTGTACACATTGTCATATAAGTGTCTGTGCAGAGACAGTCATGAAAAATGAACATTAGTCTTCACCTTACTGTTTAACATCTATCTATCTATCTATCTATCTATCTATCTATCTATCTATCTATCTATCTATCTATCTATCCATCTATCTAAATTCACCTCACGAGTATTAATGAGGTTACCACATTGTTGTGCATTGTGAGGACCTTTGTGAAACTTTTTTTCTGACTTCGGAACTCGGACCTCCCAGTTTAAAGGCATGTTCGAGTGCACTTTTCCTGGTCGGATGTCTGAAAAGTCCGACTTTCCACCACCGAACGCAGCATTATATAGGAAAATGGGTGACTCATCGGGTGACTCATCTCTTGGTGATGTGGCAGGTAGGTGACATGGTAGGTTGCACTTCCAGGTTGCAACACAGCGTTTATGGAGAGACTTTCTTTTTCCCCCCTAGTCCCTTTACCTTCATTTGTGTATTATGTTATTATATTGTGGAATACATTTTTTCTCATTTCGATCTTTGTATTGAATGACTTTTTAAAAATTATACAGGCGCTCCTTTTTCTCATCCTTTGTTCACACCAACTACCCTTTTTCTCGTCGGCGACAGGTTATCGTCAGATGCACTTGTTTTTACGGGACTATCACCCGCTGTTATCCTGGAGCCAAAGTTATGGACAGAGTAAACCTTCTACCTGGTCTTCTCGACTCTTCCACCATCTATACCCCGGGTCATTGTCCATGTGGGAATAATCAAGATATTCTGGGGCAGAGACCAATGTCTATCAACCAGTTGACAGTTGCTCTGGGCTGTGCGGGACAGGGCATCTCTGGCATGTTTCCAACCGGCATGACAAGAAAAGAAATGGGTATGGACAGAGGGAACAGTGAACTCTTGCTCCTGGGAAAGGAATAGGGGCAGCTGATACCCATCGGTGACCTTGAATGGAGAAATGCCTGTGGATGAGGAGATGGGGAACTGTAGGAATACTTGACCCATGGAAGGTGTAGTCTTCAGTAGGCTGGATGGCGGGCCGAGATACACCTAAGAGCCGACTCCAGTTCCTGAAAGAAAGCATGCCATACCTGGGATGTGAACTGGGGACTCCAGTCAGAAACAATGTCAATGGGGATGCCATGAAGCTTGAAGATGGAGCTCACTAGGATGTCTGCAGTGTCAAGGATGGAGCAAAGTCTGGGTAATGGAATGAAATTAACCATCTTGGAGCATCGGTCAAACACAGGCAAAATGACTGTGTTGCCATTGTAGGGAGAAAGACCATAAATGGAATCAATCGACAGGTGGGGCCAGGGACGGCTGGAGATATTGCAGGAGACCTATGGGGTGATGGTGAAAGGATTTCCTTTGAGAGCAGATGAGGCAGGCAGCGAGAATTCTCTGACATCTTGGACCATCCAGGACCAACAGAAACATTGTCACAGGAACTGGAGAGTTTGATTCACCGCAGGATGACAAGCCAACTTGTCAGAATGTCTCCATTGCAGCAGTGTTTTTCAATCTTTTTCGAGCCAAGGCACATTTCTTTCACTGAAAAAAATCCCACGGCACACCACTACCTGAAAATGTGAAAAGAGCTTATTTTAACAATCAAGTGTTGTATTGTGACGATAAGCGTTTTTTTAACATTGAAAATTAACACAATATTATAACACATTGAATAGGAATCAAATCAACATCAATCCAATATTTGGTGCATTTGTTTTAATGGCAAGTAAAATATAGTCAATTAGAACTTTAACTTGCTCAAGGTCTGATTTTTCTCTGTGACAGCCGGTTCTTTTTCTCCCAGTCGTTTGCGCTCTCCCGCAATATTGTACCAATCCCTTTTCCCACATTGAGTCTTTGTCTCATTCCAACATCATTCAAATGACTTTTCTGCTGAATGTGTCACTTGAGGTAGTCCAGCTTCCATTCAGTCCGTATTTTTCCATCGGAAAATTTGCTTACATCTTTAGCTTTGCTGCATGGTTTGCAGAACAGACCTTTCTCACTCGAAAAAGAAAATATCTCACCCAGTTTCACTGCTTGTTCTTCTATTTGCACATACTCCGACAGCCGTTCCAACTTAAAAGAGCCGCAGTTCATTCTTATTTTGGTTTGGGGAGTCGACGTATCGTTTCGCCACGATAAAGGATTAGCATTAGCGTCACTTATCGCCGCCGCAGTTATTGTCATGGACCAGAGAACATGCGAAAGTACTGTCAATGTCGTGATTGGCTGCATAGCGTCATTGCATCGTATCCTGTTGTTGGCTGGACACCTGTCACTCACTGAATTACACAGCAAATTGATACAGAAAAAAAAGTTATATATCTAATTCATTTGCAGTGAGTTCATTGCTGGATAGGTTTTCTTGTGCTCTGAGAGTGCGCGACCAGTGCGCAGTTGCGCAGCTTGGAGGGAACATTGGTGCCGTTGCATCTCCGGTAAAAGTAAATCTAAATGAAAGATACCTTTCATTGTATTGCCTCGCGTCGGAAACTTCGCTCGTCTCGAAGCATAAGGCAATTTCCTAGCTGCTGCTGCTCCCTACCAGTATGGAAGAGTACTACATGCTTACTCTTCCAGGTGATCCGCCGCACAGGCATACATATTGGAGAATTTCCCACGGCACACCTGACAATATCTTAAACCCTGTGCCGCGGCACACTGGTGGCACAGGGTTTGAAAAACACTGCATTGCAGGACTTGAGAGTGGATGGAATCTGAGACGAAGAGCCGATCCTTAGGGCCTGAGCGAGGAACTGGTGCTGTTGTTATGCCTCCAGAACTGCCCGCTCAATGTCTCACACTGCTGCCCTGATGAAGCATGACGGGGGAAGGATTGTCTCGAGATCTTGCCTCTCTGACCGGGGATTATGCATTAAAGAGAGAGCATCAGGGTTAACAATACGGGACCCTGGACGGTAGATAAAGACAAAGTGCCCTAGGAACAAAGCCCAATGAGCCTGACAAGAATTTAGGCACATGGCAGATTGCAGATACGTGAGGTTTTTGTGATCTGTTAATACCAGAAAGGGGATCTCAGCACCCTGCAGCCAATATCTCCACTGCTTAAGGGCAGCCACCACAGCCAACAATTCAAGGTTGCCTTTGTCATAGTTTTTGTCTTGGGGGAGGTCTGGAGGGTACTTGTTGCGTGAAAAGACTGTACCTGATATACTTTCAGAGGTTGATGTGAGCATAAGTAGAGATGTTAACTATTGATAGCGGTTTTCAGACATCAGTCGACAATAGTTTCCTGCTTCACGCATTTTTACTGTTGTGGGACATCACACTATGGCAATTGAGGAGGGACATATTTACATTAGTGTGGGCAACTAAGGAATCATTTCATCCCATTTTCATGAAAGACACCAAAACCAAAACAAGCCACAAACCATTTGGACATCCAAAATGAAGATCAATTTCCTTTTCCCTTTTTATTTTAATTTTTGCTACAGACCTCTGTTGAGCCAGGTGGCTCATTCAAAGTGATATGTCAGTGCATCCGCCTTATTGGATGTGCCCATTATATTTGCCATAAAATCAGCAAATTATAGTTGAAAAATTGAGTAACAATGATATAAAAAAAACACAAAAATTGGTTCATTATAAATAAAGTGACTTATTTTTCATCAGCGAAACATGGCTAACAGAAAGTTGGCAAAATTATTATTGTTCATGAGGCAAAACCAACAAATTTTTTCATGAGCAAATGTTGCCTTGTTAGCAAATTAGAGACTCAAATCAAACTTTCCCTTCTTATCTAAGATTGTCGAAAATGGTTTTTAAACACCTCCTCAAATATTTGTACTCAACCGGGCTTTTTGATGAATTCCAATAAAGATTTTGACCTCGTCACAGTACAGAAACATCTTTTAAGTACGAAACAAATACGATGCAGGGAAGGTGCGGTGTTGAATGGCATATCATAATGTGCGCTCTGACTAATTGAGTTCATTAAAGATGTGTCCAGCAGAGGGCAATGTTCTATGTACTGGATAGCGCATCTAGAATGTGATGTCACTGCCCCTTTTTCTGGTTATCGAGAACAGCAGTTGTGCAAGACGCAACAGTACGGTCACATCCCTTCAGCCAAGTTCCAAATAAATTTGCCAAAGGCTAAGGAAATAGTGTCCGAATGTTATAAATCTCCACCGCTCCGCTACTACATCTGACATGCAGGTCCTCGTGTTATTGGATATCAGTGCAGCATTTAAAACAACTGATCATAACATCCTTTTTTTCATTTAACATTTTTTTTCCGAAGATGGCGCCTGAGTAGGCACCCGTCGGCAAGTGCTCTTCAAGAGCCTTGCTTTCTTGTTGTTTTTTGTTGTATTCGTGTTTTGTTTTGTCACATGGTGTTTGTTGTTACATCATGTGGACCTGATGTGGATTGTTCTCAGGGTTTTTTGGCCACAACGTTCATCAAAGGAGAAGAATCTGTGCTTGGTGGTTGCGCCTTCTCGGCAGCACGCATATACCAGCACTGATTTTGATTGGGAGGAATGTCGGCGGCATTTGACTGTCGGTGCTGGACTGCCCTGGGGCGCTTGTATTTCTTGCGGCTGTAATGGGCAGCATTTTTCACAGCCCCGTTTTGTTCAGTGGAAATGTCGGTGCTGTTGGACAATCTGCGGCTGGATGGATGGATGGCTTGTGGAGCCAACAATGAGAAGAAAGGAGCGTCAGTGCAGAGCGCAGATGCGTATGTGGAACTGGGAGTTGCGGCTTGGAATTGAAGCGGATTTACATGGGACTGGAGATGTGAGCCAAGCTCTTTTTTGTCAATGGATGCTACAGCTTCTTGTTTGCTTTCAAACTTAGCTTGTAGAAGACGTGTGCACATTTTCAGCATGACGTCTTTGATCCACTGGTGAAAGGACACTTTGATTCTCTCCTCTTTCATCTAAAACTGCTTCAAACAACAAAGTGTATGAGAAAAAGTAGTTGAGGTTGCAAGACTGTCTGTGTCTTACGTGTTGTGTTGTATTATTTTGCCATTTTATGTTTACTGT